ACACGCTGACTTTGAGGCAGGTTTCGTGAAACCTAGGACGCGAGTATTGCCGCATGTCTGAACATCTGTGTGTGTGTGGGGGGGGGGGGAGGAAGGCCTTAAGAGGCCTTAAGCGTTGCGACAGAATTTTCTACCATTTTTTCTAGACACCAGAAATACTAGGAATCTCATTTCTCAACGTTTCGAGACACGCAACTCTCGTGCACAACGGATTCTCCGAAGATCGTTGATACGTCGTTCTACGTACTTACACGCGCGTGAAAGAGGAAAGGTATTCCTTGTTCGAGGTTGGGGGAAACGGGCTGGAAAATGTCTGGGCGACGTGGCGTCAAGAATAGAAAGAGCGAGCGCGTCGTCGAGTGCCGGCCGCATAAATCCGTGGAGGAGGCGCACGGGCACGGATACGGGCCAAGTTTGCGGCGCAACGAAATCCAGGTGTTTTAAAGCGGGTGTTTTAAAACCCCACGGCGAACCGCGAGTTTGCATTTTAAACGAACGACCGGCCGGGGCGGTGAGGGCTGTGACCGGGGACGTGGAGGAGAGCGGAGGGGCCACGGGGGCGGAAAACAACGCGCGGCCGCCACGCAAACGCTCCGGCGACGAGAATCGGATTAAAAAAATTCACGGGGGAACTGGCGGCGGGCGTCGAGACGCGCGCGTGAAACGTTGCGTGGGTGGGCGGCGTCCGAGGAATCGGCTAACGGGTGGCCCGTTTCGAACGAGTTTCGAATTCGAGCGAAATCGAGTTACCGCCGGGTGTGTGTCCCCTTCGGAATAATACGATGTGCTTGAATCGTGTCGAACTTTGAACGAGTCGTGCGCTCCAACGTTGGGGAAGGGGAACGGAACAAAAAAGAAAAAAAAAAAAAAAAAACAAAAAATCGAGACAATCGGTGAATAAAGCACGCGCTCTATCGGATTGCGCGGGCCGATCGAATGAACAGGATATTCGTTTTATCGTCTTTTGACTGTGCAGCATTTAGGGACCCAGATATCCCATGATGCGATTGTCGTTTTAGAGTAATTGTTTGGAGAAATTATCTAGTAGAAAGAGAGAGTTTCGTTGGAACAGGGCGACATTTCTTCGAACGTATAGTATAGAAATGAAGGTTGTATTTTCGATAAGATGATAGCTTTGGGAAATCGTGCGTTCGATGGATACAATACACGATGATTTTTATTCTTCAGTACTTTGTTGTAAAAGTGTCAAATCGTTAGTTCCGATCGTGACCACTGTCCACAGAACGAACGTGTTAAAATCCATCACTTAACCGCGAAACGACGCGAATAGCCAACAAACGTATCACCATAAATTCAGATTAACACTTTCGCTGGTGCTAATGCACACGCTGCGTTCCGTCGATTGTTTCAATCATGCTACTGACAATAACTGTTGCGTTTTTGTTTTTCATCGGACATTCGTCGCCGTCGCGACACTTAAAAATTATTAAAGTGTGTAACTAGCTATACGGTGTAACAGGTGATTTTGCGATGATCGTTACATTAAATAATCGACTACATCGTGTAAGATTCGTAGTGAAATTTTAACGGCGATTATCAACTAAGATCGATAACGTATATCACTGTTATATTATTGATTTAACTTTTAATTGTGTGATCTGCTATGTTTTTGTTTTTATGATCATTATCCAAAATTGAAATAAGAAAGAAACTTGGGAAAAATAGTGAATTGTAAAAAATATAGGAAAATTCATCGTCCTTTCTGGTGGATGGGCAAAAAGAAATATTTACAAATGAAAAAAGTGTTGCAGAAAATATTTACAATGTCACGTGATATGGTTGATAACGTCAAATAATACGACGGCTTACATTATTTCGACGATAATCTGTACTCTTCGGTAACCTACTTTATTATAAAACACGCGTTACACAATTTGAGGCAACGTTACACAACTGTCAATCGTCGAGAATCAAACGTGTTGAAAAATTCAAAGCCTCGTTCTGACACAACACCCTATATCCGTGTCAACGCGAGCGAAATAGCATCGATTTGCCAGATTTCTCCAGATATCCAGATTTGCCGGTACGCCACTCACCTCGGCGCCCGGCCGAGTTCGATCCGAACTATTATCAATTTATCCCGGCCCGAAACTTCTCCGAGTTCGATCAGAATTCTCGCCCAACCTAGAAACCAACCGAGCGCCAAGAAGGCGCGCTCGCTTCAAGGTTCAACCGTCGCTCGAACGGGGAAAACAAAGCACGAGCGGCGGCGTTCGCGTTCCGCTTTGTATTAAACATTAAAACGAGCTCTTAGAACGACCGAGCTCAAAGTGGCATACATATTCAACGTCGACACGTTTCCAGACACATCTCACAGCCGCGCTGTGAGATGTTACGAGCGGGGACCAGACCGTGGACTCTCGTTATATGCGAATACGCACTGCGTGACACAGCCATCCACAGGCGACAGAATGCCGAGCACTCTCTCCCCCCTCGCCTCTCTCTCTTGCTTTCGTTATCTATTCCTCTCTTTGTTCGTTGCCTAACCGTATTCAGCCATGAAACTCACCCCCGTGCACGTTTACATAAGCGGACAGCGAGACACATATACACCCCTCTCAAGTAGGTTAATCTCCGCCTGTTTCGATCGAACCCAACCAAGCTATCTCTCCCGAGGGGGGAAGAGGTGGACGCTGTCTGACCCCGCTGCTCTGCTGGATCATCGACAATTATTGAGGAGGGTTCTGCGAGATCGGGATCTCGCGGTCTCTATTACGTCACGAGGTTTCTGTTTCACGAGCAAATTAAGAAACTGGGTTTTTGTTTGGGTTTTGGAAGGAACTCTCAGTTTTTAAAGTTACTGTGGATGTTTGTGTATTTTTGGAAAATTTAAATATGTATGTATTTTATATATGAAATAGAGTACCTACAGCATACAACGAACGGACTGCTAATGTTCAGTTTTGAGAAACTGAAGGTTGCACAAGTTTAGAATACGTACAACGTGCATAAATATGTAAAAGCATCCGAAGTAGATAAAAATTGTACAAACATCCGCAGTCCAATGATTAGGGTAGCAAGAAGCTCGGAGAGAATAAGCTATTTACATATCGTTGTAGAACGATACTCGACATCTTATCCACTTAACCCTTTCGCATCCATGGACGAAATATCTCGCCACGTGATATCGTGCACGATACGCTTTGTGACGAGATATCTTGCAACGCAATATTGACGCTTTAGACGAGATATCTCGCGTGCCTTTTCATTAGAACTGGCGATATCTTGTTCAATAATTCGGGGAGAAGCGAATTCATAAGATACCGACTAACTAATAGTCAATATTAAATAACATCCAGACTGTGTGACGAACATCGCATGACCAATTATTCAGTAATTATATATGAAATATCTTCGTCTAAAATTTGCTACTTCCAAATTTATTTCTGTGTTCCTTGTTTGTCGCAAACGGTCTCTATCTCCAACCTTCCAATCGCGATTAGAACAATTAGAAAACACCTTGTTCAATTATTCGTTTGTATCCTTCGTTCAAAATTCAATAGCTCCAACCTTCCCCCTCCCCATTCGAATCCGATCGATTCGTCCAAAAATATTTTTCCGCGACTTTATATCAGACGCGGTCGCGTCTGCCCACCGGAGACGTGTTTATTTTCAGAGCCAAGCCGCCTGGCAGCGCGAAATACTTCGGGTAGCATAATATCCGTATAAAATCGGTCGTCGGAAGCGAACCAGAGTCTGCTGCTGCTGCTGCTGCTCCATTTTAATCCGGCTCGGGTTCGGTTGCCCTCTGAAAATTGAATGATCACGCCGCCCTGATATTTGCGAAAGCATCGATTTCCGTTGGCAGACCGACCGAACAAGAGAGGCGCGCGGCATCGTCGCCGCGATTACGTCCAATTACGGCGGTCGAAGGCGGAGGAAAACGGACGGAGAGAAACGAGGGATGGGAGAGGGACGAACGGTGGTCGT